AAAGAAGATGGGATATAGAGTGATTTCCTGTGTAGTGTTATTTCCTGTTTGTAATAATAAAACATTAAAGAATGACATCTAAAGCTGACAAGTAGTGGAAAGCAAGTAGTGGAAATATAAGCATATTTAATAAAATGAAGGTATTTTTGCAAATTGTGAAGTTGTAGCAGCGCCCTTCAGTAGAGGATTGCTTAAATAGATTATGGTCCATCCCTATGATGGAATATTTTGTAGCCTCAGAATGAGGAAGGTCTCTGTGTGCTGATAGAGAAAGAGCTCTAAGATAAATTAAAAAACAAAGTACAGAACAGGTTATATGGTATGCTGCCATTTACGTAAAAGAAGTAGAAACATAGTATATAATGATGTTTCCATATATTTGATCCAAAAATTGAGAAAGGATACCCGCAAAACTTTTAAAAGGTGATCATTTTAGGGGAGAGTTTGGCATTTGGTTGGGTCAGAAACTGGGTAGGGGTAAGGTTTTTCACTGTGTTCTTTTCTCCCTCCCTCCTCCTTTCCCTCCTTGATTTTCATTTTTGAAACGTGAGTGCAGTACGTATTAAAAATTAGATTAATGAAAAAAAATCAGATACCACCCCTCCCCCCATTTTGGTCCTATACTAAGTCTCAGGCAAAGCTTTGAGGTAGTTTTAATTACCATCTCTGCAAAGTCTTATGGGATTTTCAGTTCTTTCTGGAATGTAATCTTCTTAGGTATAGGCTCCTCAAGCCCCCTAGGTGAAGAAAATTCTTTTCACTGGTTGATTTGCCATTTCATTTGGACAGGTTCTCTGTCCTTTCTTAGATTGTTTGAATAATCAGTCATTGTTAAGGCTGGTTCTATCACTAAGTGAAGGTCTGTTTCTTATCCTGTTGTATAGGTTATTTGTGGAGTTAGTCTTGCTGGAAGGCATTGGGTTCCTATGAGGAGTGAACTTTTCCCCTTCAGTTAATATCTAATATTCATGCTCAACTTAATGTGGTCAAAACAGAACTCTTGATAATGAGTCCCAACTTCAGGGCTCTGTGAAACAGGAAAAAAGACGAATTATGGTTAATTTTTTTTAAGTTAAGGAAAATGAGACATTGAGAAGTTGTGACTTGTGAGAAGTCACCTAGAAGATAGGAATAAGGCAGGGGGAGGTACAGCCATGATCTCGTGGGTAGAGCCCTGACTCCCAGACAGTGCCACCTGTCTTAACCATTGACAGTGTGAATCCTGCCATGTTGATGTAGGGACTTAGCACAGTGGATTGAGCCCCTTCAAATGAGGCTTATTAATTTTTTGGACCTTATGTAATTATCCTCCCAAAGAGATTCTCAAGTTTACTTCAAGGGTGGATTAGTTTGGACGTACAATTTGGGAGCAGTGATCCTACTGTCAGTGTCCACACACAGGATGCAAAGGAATTGCCAGTGATAAAATTGTTACCTTTGGTGTGTGATTTAAGATAGTAAATTGAAGGGAATGCTTATGAAGTCATGCTTATGACCTTGAACTCTTTCAGGTTGCTTTTCCATAATGAATAGAATAGGTGTCTTCTGCAACATTTTTTAGAAGCTTTCTAAATGCCTTGGCTCTAATGCGTTAATTGTATTGCATTTCTACTTTGGTTTCTAAGGTTATATTTGTAAAATGGGGATGATAATCTTTGCCATCTTCACAGGACTGTTGTGATTATTAAATGGGACGGCAGATGTGAGCGTACTTTTTGTAGAACAGTAAAGTGCCTTGTAAATGCAGAGATGGCAGTGCTTGTATTAATTAGTTCTCATCTGCTCCCCATGTGTTCGTGTCATTCCACTCTGGCCCTTCCAGGTCCAGTCTTTTCTAGGAGTAAGACTAGAGGGTCATATTAAATTCTTGTATTTCTGGGACTTCCCTGGTGGTGCAGTGGTTAAGACTCTGCACTCCCAATGCAGGGGGCCTGGGTTCGATCCCTGGTCAGGTAACTAGATCCCACATGCATGCCGCAACTAAGAGTTTGCATGCCACAACTAAGAGCCCACAACTAAGACCCAGCACAACCAAATAAATAAAATAAATGTGTATTTAATTGAATACTTTTATTTCTGTACATTAGCTTTTTTCCCTCTGTGTTTCTTTCTGTACATGCTTTCATCTAAATAAGGACACTTTTGAATAATGGTATACACAGAATTTTATCATAAACAGTCAATAAACCATACTGTAGAGATGTAATAAGAAACTTGTGCGTAATACTGTGGACACACAGGCTTTGTCAGTAGATCTGTGTTTTAAAATCTAGTTGTCAGGGACTTCCCTGGTGGTGCAGTGGTTAAGAATCCGCCTGCCAGTGCAGGAGACACGAGTTTGATTCCCTGGTCCGCGAAGATCCCACATGCCACGGAGCAGCTAAGCCTGTGTGCCACAACTACTGAGCCTGCGCTCTACAGCCCTTGAGCCACAGCTACTGAAGCCTGCGTGCCTAGAGCCCGTGCTCCGCAGCAAGAGAAGCCACTGCAAAGAGAAGCCTGCACACCGCAGCGAAGAGTAGCCCCTGCTCACTGCAACTAGAGAAAGCCCGTGCGCAGCAACAAAGATCCAACACGGCCAAAAGTAAATAAATAAATTTATTTTTAAAAAAAATCTAGTTGTCACCCTATATTGGCTGTATGATCTTATATATTAAGATCATACACCCTATATTGGCTGTATGATCTTACATATATAATATATAAACCCTATATTGGCTGTATGATCTTATATATAATCTCTTGTAGATTCAGTGTGCTCATGTATAAAGTGGAAGATAATAATACTTGTTTTTTTAACATTGTTGACGGCTAGATGAGATACCTCTTCTTTTTTTTTAAATTCATTTTATTTATTTATTTTTGGCTGTGCTGGGTCTTCGCCGCTGCGTGCGGGCTTTCTCTAGCTGCAGCGAGCGGGAGCCACTGTTTGTTGCGGTGGCCGGGCCTGTCATTGCGGTGGCCTCTCCCACTGTAGAGCACGGGCTCCAGGCACACGGGCTCAGTAGTTGCGGCTTGCGGGCTCCAAGAGCACAGGCTCAGTAGTTGTGCCGCATGGGCTCAGTTGCTCCACGGCATGTGGCATCCTCCCGGACCAGGGCTCGAACCCATGTCCCCTGCATTGGCAGACGGACTCCCAACCACTGCGCCACCAGGGAAGCCCTAGATAGCTTTTTTCAAAGCACATGGAACATTACTTTCACTGAACTTATTAAGCTAACCTCATTTCCTCAAACATACTAATTCTAGTTCAAACATAATTGCTTGATATTAATAACGTTACCATTTTGGTTCTAGTCCTTTTAATGTAAGTTACATTGATAAAGATAAAAATTTAACTCCACAGTTGTTCTAGATACTCTATTTTAGATCCACTGGGATGAAAAATGAGAAAAAACCCACGTAACTGTGCGTTATCTTATTTCTGGCTCATGTCAGTGTATGGGAACCTCAAAACTCATCAGGTATTTCAAAAACAGTATGCATTTATTCATTTACTCAGTATGTTTTATGCATACCTACATGGCACTATTATTAGGCTTTGGAATACAAAGATGAAAAAAAATAATCCGTGCCTGTATTGGAGGTCATCATTTGTTGAAGGAGACAGATAAATAAGCAGTTGTAATAACAGCCTCAAAAGTAGTGTGATAGGTGTCTGCATGGGTAGCCTTGAGAACCCAGAGGAGGTGCCTCCCACCTCTCCTAGATGGGGAGTGTGTATATAGGTGTCCAGGTGTGCTTCCCAGGGAAGGTGTCATCTGAATTGAGTCTGGAGAGAGCCAGAACCTGGAGCATGAAGCCTTTTCTTCCAGGCCAAGAAGATGGAGTTCATTTTAAAATGATGAGGGATCAGTGAATATTTTTATTTAGAGCAACATAAACAGATTTGGAACTTAGGATAATTACCTAGATGCGTACCTCCAAGCAGTGGCATCAACATCAATTTTATTATCCTCTACATTGCCATCATTTATTTAATACCTATTATATATCTGACTCGTGTGTATATTATCTCATTTAATCCAGCACCCTTTGAACTAGATACTATTGCCATTATTTTATAGATGAGAAAACACTGGGTGATAGAGGTTAATAGAACAGTTAGTGACTGGACACACAAGAGAGAATGTGTTTGATTACCTGTCATTCCACCAGTGGGATGTTAATGGAAGGTAAGATGAGAGATGATGATCTGTTGATCCTTAGTCTTCCACTTTGATGTTTCGTATTATGAACATTTCACTTAACTTAGTTAGATTCTAGAATTTAAAGATAGCGTTCATGCCCTACAAGACAGCTTGTAACCAATGTCTTTTATTTTGTCTGGTGCCCCAGAAGCTTTGGTTCATTCTAACACTGCAGGGACACTGTTAGACTGTTAGACTCATGGAAAGAAAACGTATCCGTATCCAATGTGGAACCACATTTTTTTTTCTAGAGTTTTTCATCTTGCAGGATTTTTATCCCTATCCTTTAGAACTCTTACAGGGTATAAGCTACTTTATTCTCCATTCCATCTCCTTTTCCTCTGAATAAAATTATCTTAAGGAAAGATTTGAAATGATACCTCATTAGGATTTGAGATGTTTGAGTTGAATAATTAATTCTTAAAGTCTCGTGTATAACTTGGGACCTGGCTTCTCAATATGAAGGATAGTTTGAAACTAGATTTTATCTTTCTGCTTCATGGTGTTTGTATAGTGTATTGAAGCGACGGAGTGAAAGGTAATAATTCTTAGGAGGTTAAAAAAAACTGATTATTAATCTAACCACACTCCCCATTAGCTTTCTAAATGCTGATAAAATTGGCGATTTGCCCCTTCATTCTCAGCTCTTTAATTGAAAGTACAAATAAAGTACCTCTTCTCTTCTAGAAATATGGCATGGAAGCTGATTAATTTTAAGAAATACTTGTATGTAACTAGAAAGGGTACAACAAAGATAGGGCATGCACAGTTTTGAGTCGCTCTACTCACCTTTTACTCCTTTTATTTCAGCTCAATCTGAAATCGAAGTTTCTGTGTCTGCAAGGAATATCAGAAGGTTACTAAGTTTCCAGCGGTATCTTAGATCGTCACGCTTTTTCCGTGGTACCAGCGTTTCGAATTCTCTAAACATTTTAGATGATGATTATAATGGACAAGCCAAGGTGTGTATAGCTTTTTCAAGAAAACATTAATTTTTAGATAAGTTTAACGAAGCCTTGTTTTTCCCATATGGTACTGATTTATAGAGCCTTTTTTTGTATGTGAAATCAGTTGAACCCATTTTTCAGGTTTTCCCTTTAGAGCAGCTAGCTGTTCATCCTATAATTAGGTATTACAGAGCAAGGAACATTTCTGAAGTAACTAAAATAATGAAAATGTTTTCAATTGATTATAACAGCAAGTAGATCAATAGAAAGTTAAGCTATAAGATCACACTTAACGCTGGGAAGAATATTATGGATTGTCTGATCTAATTTCTGTATTCTGTAGCTAAGAACAGTATGGCCTTAAAAAAAAAAGAACACTATGGCCTAAATAGTATAAGGAACTTGGTTGAGCTCCCCCAGCTGGTTAGAAGTAAACCCAGCACAGGAAGACTCATGACTTTCAGTCAAATGATTTTTCATAATCTCTTGTATCAGTGAGATATTTGGAAGATTTAGATTTTTTAAAAATTAAACCTGGTGATTGTGTGCATTGTTTTCTTTATATAGTTTAAAAGAAGTATGTTAATGAAGGTGGAAGTTAGTTGAGGTTGTTTTTGACCAAATGAGGATTTTTTAATAATCTTATGTTTCTGATATTTGTAAAAGTATTCTTTGACTTAATACTTACAGGCCAGATGTTGTCAGTTTGTGTAGATACGGTCAGGGTACCCACTCTACGGTTATACTAAAGTGAAAAAATTTGCCTCCCAGTTTGATAAAACAAATCAGTGGAAAAGCACTGATGCTTTCCTTAAATTTTAAAAAGTTCACAAGTTTTGTTTTTTAGAATGAGAATATTATGTGTATCATTGGTTGTTAGTATTATAATCTCAACCAGTAGTACCTTAATGTTGCTTATGTCGATTAGGTCATAAATGTATACGACAGTGAAGTTTTAGATACAAAATAAAAACTTTTTCTTGAAAATAAAAGTCCACAAAATTTTCAGGTTACAAATATATGGTGTAAAAATATCTGTTTGAGTTTTAGGGTTGTGGGATTTATTTACTTGGCTGAAATAACCATCAACCTAAAAATTAATGTAGTAAATGCTATTGACTCTTTTATAAGGCTATTTAAAGAATATAAATAAATACCCATAAATTGGGAGTGTATTTTCAGAAAACGAATAACAAATAATTTGAGTGTAGTACAGTGTAGGTGTCTGGTGCCTGGGTTCCAGAATCAGACCACCTGACGTCAGATCCCAGCTCTGTTACTTTCTTGCTGAGCAAGTTAGAACTTTTTGCCTCTTTCCCCATCTATAAATGAGGATTGAAAACAATGCCTGCTTGATAGTGTCGGCATGAAGAGTAAGTGAGTAAAGAGGAAAGCACTTTTAACAGTGCCTGGGATATAGCAAGTGTTCGGCTATTATAATTTACTTGTATTCGATTTTAAAAATCTGGTTTCTTAGACCATGCAGTGTATGAACCACACTTCTGTGATGTTGTTAAGTTATATTCGAATTCTTGACCGTTCATGGGAGTATAGGAATAAGTCGAAGGGAACACTAACCTTACCTATACATTTATTAACTGGAAAACAAAATAATAACTGTTTTTTCAAATGGAGTTTATCCCTCTGGACATGCTTTGGAGCCGTTTGGAAAGGTCATGATTAAAGGGAGAATGATACTTAACATTCCTTAAAGTAAATCAACCACTTCCCATTTTCATTAACTTCCCTGTGGACTGTCTACAAAAGATAGAGAATGTTACTGAAATTAAATTACAGTAGGAATGTTTGGTTTTCATTTCAGTGTATGCTGGAAAAAGTTGGAAATTGGAATTTTGATATCTTTCTATTTGATAGACTAACAAATGGTAAGTGAAGAATTTGACTTACTCAAGTTAATGTACTCTTGAGATTGCTGCACTGACGGTACAGCCGCCGGTGGGCTGCTGCTTTCATTTACTTAGGTTAGGAGCCCTCTGCTGGCAGAGGGAGCATTGTTGTGTTGCTTCTTTAGTGACTGACTTGTAAGCCTAGAGAATCAATCTAAAATTTTATTTTTTGATTATTACTCTTAGTAGTAATCAAAAGTAACCGCTGTCATCATCACTTGGGCGTCCCTTATTAATGCTACTGTTATTAATAACCCAAGGCGAACATCACTATCTCGTCGTTTTTGTTTTTTTTTTCTTTTTTGGTTTCTTTTGTACTGTAGTCACAGTGACATCCTCTGATCTTGTATTCCAGTTTTGATAGCCCCAGATATGTGGTAGATGAATGACCCTTTGAGAGATGGCTTTTCTTCTAGCTCTGGCTCCTAGGCTTTCCTTTCTCTGCTCACTTGAGAGATGGCGTGTTAATGATCAGCAAACAGTGGTTCCTTCTGGCACTGCTTCTCCATGGCGGGGTCGGGTGGGGTGGGAGGAGCTCGTGGCTTCTTGAGGGGGCGTATCGGAATCTACAGAAAGTATGAGTACTTTGAAAAAGACAGGTGATTCTTTTGTTTAGATGTTGGGGGTAGGAGTTTATTAATTAATTTATTTATTTTTGCTGTGTTGGGTCTTCGTTTCTGTGCGAGGGCTTTCTCTAGTTGCGGCAAGCGGGGGCCACTCTTCATCGCGGTGCGCGGGCCTCTCACTATCGCGGCCTCTCTTGTTGTGGAGCACAGGCTCCAGACGCGCAGGCTCAGTAGTTGTGGCTCGCGGGCCTAGTTGCTCCGCAGCATGTGGGATCCTCCCAGACTAGGGCTCGAACCCGTGTCCCCTGCATTAGCAGGCAGACTCTCAACCACTGCGCCACCAGGGAAGCCCCGAGACAGGTGATTCTGATCTGTTTACCTCTTTCTGAGTTTTGTTTTGCTTTGCGGGAAGGGTTCATTTTTCTTTATTCTGTTTGAGAATGGGAACAGAATTCCCTTTGAGAATCATTCTTTATTTAGTGTAAAATTTTTGGCAATAAAAAAGAAAAAAGGTGGGCTTCCCTGGTGGTGCATTGGTTGAGAGTCCGCCTGCCGATGCAGGGGACACGGGTTCGTGCCCCGGTCCAGGAAGATCCCACATGCCGCAGAGCGGCTGGGCCCGTGAGCCATGGCCGCTGAGCCTGCGTGTCCGGAGCCTGTGCTCTGCAACGGGAGAGGCCACAACAGTGAGAGGCCCGTGTACCGCAAAAAAAAAAAAAAAAAAAGGTGGTACCTGTTGTCCAACTAGACTTTGCCCCTTTTGCCTTAATATGTTTTAAATGAAGCAGAGTGGAAAGTTCACTGAGAGGACGTCAGTTCTGATGGTTGAGAATGAAATAAATATGTGATTCACTGCCATACTTTGAAATCACTTTTTTTTTCTTATTTTACTTTGGAATAAAGCTCCTTTCCTAAGAAAGCCAAATATGGGAAATGGACAAGCAAATAGAACTGTATGCATCTTGAGAATAGCATGGGTCTAGCTTTTTAGTATCACTACATCATTCGCTCTGAGCTGTATGGTCAGGCATAGTGAGGATACCTTTGTGATCACCTTCAAGTTGTCTGTGGACTGCTGACCGAAAATAAACTGAAGCGACCCAGGCACAAGTGTAAAGACAGTAAAGTTCTCCTCAGTGGTGGAGCCTCCCTCCCGCTTCCCTGCCTTTTGTTTTTCCCCCTTTTCTGTTCCTACTCACCTCTCTTTTGCCCTCTGGTGCCTAGTGTCTGTTCCTCTCCCTTCCCCCACTTGGGCCTGTCCACACAGAAGAGGCTCTAATATCATTTAGGGCCTGTCGGAGGCTCTTAATACCAGCTGTCCTTCCTTGCAGCCATCCCCTTTTTGAAAATATAGGTGCCTCAGCTTCTTCTAGATCTGGGAAACTCCCCTTTCCTAATGCAACACAAATATTACTTTAGTCATTATCTCAAGATAAACATAGATAAGACAGTGCCGCCCTTAACACCTTCAAGGTCTAGCCTCACATAAACACTAAGAGCTCATAGCCTATTCTTAGTCTCCTGAGACACTTGTCACCCACTGAAATAGTTGATTGTTTTTCTCTAGATTTTATTTTTAAAAAGAACATACCTGCTAGTCAGGGGGCGTGGCGATAAAAGTGGAACGAGGGTGACGGTGCAGGATGGGCAGAAGTAATGGCCACTAGTCTACGTCAGTTAACTTAGCACTTGGCTTTCCTTCAATCACCTCACTCCTTTTTTGTGGAGAAGGTGGCCGAATGGTTTCTTCTTGGAGTTGTTAGGGGTTAGTAGAAACGACCCATGGTTAGCCACCCACCTGTGCTTTTACAGGTGGTGATATCTATGTTCAGTTCACTACAGTCACCCAAAAGTTACAGGAATTCTGTACATGAAGAGATATTACTGGGAAACAAGTGGGCAGGAGAAAATTCCTTTAACTTGCATTATTTAATTGGATCTGCTTTCCTTTCAGAGCTGCTTAGCCTGAAACGAATTCTGGATGATATATGTACATAGTATCCAAGTATATAGTTTTCCCTTCTTGCTGTCGACCTGGTGTGTTCTGTGTTTCTTCCTCTGGTGATTTCCCAAATGATACTGTGAGGAGGGCAGGGAAGAAACAAAACTGATTCCCAGCTTGTCCACTGCAAAGCGGGAAGTAGTTACTACCTGGTAGGATATATTTGATGTTGCCTTTGCAGGAATGAGTTAGGTTACATCAGATAGCAAGATAGGGCTTGTCTCCCCCAAAAGTCACCTGGCGCATGAGGACCCTCGTTGCCAGGCCTGTGTTATAGCCGTAGCCCAGTCCTGCCAGCTCCCAAGTATTGAAGAGAATCACATCCTAAAACCTGTCGAGAGCCGTAACACCTTAGGCAGGTCCGTCCTTTCATATATCTTTATATAAAGGGTAACTTTTCTATAAGTACAGTTTTCTTTTCCAAGAAGATGTTTCCATTCTCATATAAAATAACTGCTTCTATGCCTGTTTCTTGTTTAACGTATCAACTAAGCATCACCACTTGCTTTGAAATGTTTCGTTGACTTGTGTTCTTATTTACTGGTATTAAGTCAGTTGGTATCTTATAAACTGAAAATGAGAAAAAGCGTTGCATACAGTTTTTCATTTTGATATGGGCGGTACGCTGTTAGATTGGCTCTTGTCAGATTCCCCCAGGCTTCTTGGTGGAGGACGTTAACATGCGTTTCTTACTACCATTCGTCTGAATTCCAGGTGAGGGTATCTTACCATTTGATTGCAGCTTTCTTAAAACTTATTCTAGATCCTAGAAATTGGTAATTTATTTCATTAGGTTTGGGAAACAATTTGGGGAGAATCCTGCGATTACCTAAATACACAGAATGAATATACATTCTTTTTTTTTAATTGAGGTATAATTGACATAGAACATTATGTTAGCGTCAAACATACAATGTAATGATCTGCCATTTGTATGTACTGCAAAATAATTGCCACAGGGGGTCTAGTTAACATCCGTCAGCATACATAGTCACGGTTTTATTCATTATGATGAGAATTTTTAAGACCTTCTCTCGGCAGCATTCAAATACACAATGCACCCATTTTGTCCCCTTGCCCCACCTCTGACAACCAACCGCCGGTCTGTTCTCTGTATCTGTGAGCTCGAGATTCTGTTGTTTTTGTTTTAGATTCCACATATAAGTGAGATTATACAGCATTTATCTTTCTCTGTCTGACTTCACTTAGCACAGTTCCCTCAAACTCCATCTATGTTGTCGCATATGGCAAGATTTCCGTCTTTCTTATGGCTGGGTAATATTCCACTGCATATACACCACGATTTCTTTATCTGTTCGTCCATTGATAGGCCCTTAGGTTGATTCCATGTCTTGGCTGTTGTAAATAATGCTTCAGTGAAGGTGGGGGTGCAGGTATCTCTTTGAGATAGTGATTCCATCTCCTTCAGATATATACCAGCAAGTGGGATTGCTGGATCATAAGGTAGTTCTACTTTAAATTTCTTGAGGAACCTCCATGGTTCTCCATAGTGGCTGCACCAGTTTACAGTCCCACCAACAGTGCACCAAGGGTTCCCTTTTCCTCACATCCTAGCTAACGCTTGTTATCTCTTGTCTTTTTGATAATAGCCATTCTGACAGGTGTGAGTTGATATCTCATTGTGGTTTTAATTTGCATTTCCCTGAGGATTAGTGAGCTTTTCTTGTACCTGTTGGCCATTTGTATGTCTTCTTTGGAAAAATATCTATTCAGATTCTCTGCCCATTTTTTAAAACCAGATTGTTTTTTGAACATACGTTCTGAAATATCTCTATATATGCCCTAAGAAAAGTTGGTTGTTACCGTGGTTATGACAGAAACATAGCTCACTTCTTCACAAGTGATTCTAGACCACATGGGTTCATGTTTGTACCAGTAGAGTGTTACTAGGATTGGAATGCATTCTTACATTTAACTCCTTAAAGGGAAAAGATTTGAAATGGTTTTTTCTTTCTGTGTGAAGGTGATGTGTCGGATGGTTTTTAGGAAGACTCTCTTGGTTGCCACATCCTTCCCACTGTTGCTTATGCAAACCTTGTTCCAGTTAGTTTACTTTTTTCCTCATCTGTGGGCTTCTAAACAGTTGTTCAGGCAGTTTTGGATAATTAGTTTAGCCTGATAGTTCTTTGTAATTCTTCATAAATATTATTACTACAAATTTTCATTGTGGGACTAGTTGGGTCTTTTGTACATGTTTGTAAGAATCATAGATTTTTTTCGAGAATACCAGAATCATGTTTATGTTATTGTTATTGTCTGAATGCTGGCAGTAACTTATGAGCTCACACACCTTTAAAACCTACAGTCTGTTTAATTGTTAAATAACATAGCATATGCAGCCAAGGCGCTTTGCTCTGGGACACCCCCATTCAGAGCAGTGTGGTGGAGGGATGGTTATGAGGGAGGTGAGTGCACATGTTTTAGGTGCTTTGGGAAATTGAACTAAACTTACTCAGTGTGGACAATTTTCAAAGTTTTCTATCAATTCTAATTATTTTGGTGTCTTAAAAAAAAACTTATCTATTCAAAAATGTTTATCTTCCAGTTGTTTGGTTTTGGAAAAATAAAACCAAAAAATCTTTTTTTCTTAGAATAGAAAGAACATGTGATATTTAAAGTTCTAAACTGGTAAAATTAAAATAAGTTGTAAATTTTAGATAGAGAAAAAGTAGGACTTAGTACTCTTTATGTTTTGTATTCAAACCTATAATTGGAAGTACAGTGCAGTTACATAAGCTTGTATTCCTGCTAATATCTCCTCTTCTTCCTTTTTAGGAAATAGTCTAGTAAGTTTAACGTTTCATTTATTTAGTCTTCATGGATTAATTGAGTACTTCCATTTAGATATGATGAAACTTCGTAGATTTTTAGGTAAGTGATTCTAACCCATTTAACAGTAATAAGATTTATACTGGTACTTGTTTAACTTGTCTCTCAATTATATCAGCTGTTGCTCTAAAACTAATCACCCCAAAGTTAGTGGCTTAAAGAAAAACGCACATTGATTTAGCCCCGAGTCTGCAGGGCTGTGGAGCGCTGCTTCTGGTCTGGCTGAGTTTGTTCGTGCCCCCGCCCTTGACACCCAGTGAGCTGCACTGCGGCGTCGTGGGCCTCAGCTGGGACACCGGGCCCGACCCGGCTCAGCTCTACATGATCTCCTGTTAAATTAAAAGGAGGCAGAGGAGTTTGGCACCATAATAGAGCCACTTTAAAAACAAAAACGGAAAAAGATTATTTTCCAACAAGCCAAGCTTGTTCAGAGAGCAGTGGCCAGTTGGCAGGAGAGCGCTGGCACATCCAGACCCCCGAGCCCAGCCCGGACACTGGCTCGCCTTGCTGTCCGCCGCATCCCGTCAGGTGGAGGGGGGGCCCACACCTCTGGGTGGGGAAGCTGCGAAGGCCCAGTGCCGCTGGGGGCTGGGTCAGCTTTGCTGTCAGTCTCCCACGTCAGCCCCGGCTTTCTCGCAAAGATGACACAGTTTCTGTCCTTTCCTAACTTTTTGAAGGCTAAAACCTTAAAAGATCCAGGTACCTTGCACTTGGGTCTCCTCTTTTTCTGATCCCAGAAACCTCCTGACAGTAAACTTCAAAGATTATTTTGAATATGTTTTCATGTGCAGAGTGATATTTAAGAGCACTCTGCTAGGGAAAACATTAGAGCCTTTCACCGAATAAAGGAAAACGTTAGAAGAATATTAGCATAGGATTCTTGTTTTTGTAACGAAGTTGATAATATTTTCTTTCCTCTTCATTAGCAAAGTAAGATAAATTTATTACCTGAGACGTTGAGAAACTTCTAATGCATATTCATTTACAAATTGTATGCCTGCAATACTCTATCTGTTATAAAACACATAAATAGATATTAACACAAGTGTTTAGAAAACTATTTTAAAGGATGGGATCAAAGTACATACAGAATTCTAATGCTCTTTGCCTCTCACCAGTGAGTCCCAGCTCACCACCTTGGGGTTGGCTCACCATACCTGGAGATCACTGGATTGAGTGATGGGCTGTGAGGGCCACAGTGCAGGTTTGGTGGCAGTGGGGACGGCTCTACCCTCTCATCCTAGTCTACTTTTTCATGGTAGCATAATACAGACACTGAGCAGAGAAGGCAGGATTAACACATCATCCTTCCCTACTACTGAAAAACTAATTGCAGATCTGAAACTCACCTCACTGATGGAGTATCCCAAGGATCGTGTTCACATTCCCCAATATCTGTATTATTTTAGCCTCATAAAGATTTTTGTCCTCTGATGAATTCCTAGTTCCTAGAACGGTATCTACTACAATGAGTATTTGTTGAATGAATTGTACAGTTTTTATTAAACTAAGAAACTCTTTTTAAATTAAAAAAAAAAGTCAGAGGAGTGGGGCACAATGATAGATTGACATTTTAAAAGAGAAAAAAAGGAAAAAAATTTTTTATAATTTTGACGTGAATACCTTCATGCCATTTAAAGAGTTTCAAACAAGAGTCAAGGTGGTGTTGATGCCTCGGGTATACATGTGAGTTATGATAAGTGATTATCATCTCCCCGAATCAGAACAATTAGCTGATAGCCACATGAGAAGGGTAAGTGGAGAATGCATAATTGTTGCAATTTTTGTATTTCTGTGTGCCTCCTGTTCGCAGTTAAATCTGAGGTCTTTTTTTTTTCTTTGACGCAGTTATGATCCAAGAAGATTACCACAGTCAAAACCCTTACCACAATGCAGTCCACGCTGCAGATGTTACTCAGGCCATGCACTGTTACCTAAAAGAACCTAAGGTAAGGTGTTGGCATTTACAGTCAGTGAAAGTCCTGAGAAAATGCCCTTGATTTAATTTCAAATACTTTTCCTTAAGTTAATGTTTTAATCAGACTTAAAATCAGAAGCTTCCTTCACAAGAATGAGATGTAGCTGGATCAGGTTTCCAGGTGTGGCTGTATTTGTAAGTTGACAGCTAGAGAGCTGGGGTGATTGTCGAGAATGAGGCTGGAGAAGCCCAAGTGAGGGTCAGGCTGTACGGCCCGGCCACACATGTCAAGTCACCTGGCGTTTACACTGCGCTCCACGAGGGCAGGGATGACACTCGTCAGATCCCGTGATGAATAGGAAGCTACGGAAGGGAAGCAGGAGATTTTACAAAGCTATCCTGGCTGTGGGGGGAGAATAACTCAGACAAGACCAGAAACATGCACGCTGCCCGTCAGGAGCTGTTTCGATAGCCTTGGGGCAGGAGAGAGGCAGACGCTTGGTGAGATCTCTTGGGAATCAGAACATGGAGGATGTGGTGTCTGGATGCATCTAGGGGAGTGAAATAGGGAGAGGAGTCGGTGGAGACTGTCCCCGGCAGCTGAGTAGCAGGTGGGAGTCGCTGTGAGGGAGAGAATGTAGAAAGGGAGGGAGGGCTGGCAGAGATGATGAGCTCCATTGTGGGCACGTTAAATGTATTCGCTCCATATCCGAATGCAGGTGTCTAGTAGAGAGTTGGAAAGGAGTCTGAAGCATAGCAGAGAAATCAGAGTTGGGGACTACCAGCTGTAGATGTTAATGGAAGCCATGTTTGCCCATGGGCGTTTCCTGTTCCTGGAGGCTGTAAAGTTACATCTGCCACCCTTAGCCCTACTTCTAAACTCGCCTCCCCAGGGATCTTAGTTCGGCCGGATGCTGGGAGGGAAGGAGGCTGACTGAGCCAGTTGGTGCTAGTTGATGCCAACTCTGAGAATATAGCCATGTGGTTGCCAGTCTCCTGATTTTTCAAGAGATGTGGAGTATGTGAAAGTACACCAATTTTTAAAGTGTATTATGACTTTAAAAAAATTAACTTTATCGTGGCATCATTTATATGCAGTAGTAAAATGCATACATTTTATGTGTGTAGTTTTGATAAATGAATACTCCCATGCACCCCAATTTTTTCATTAAAGTTTAAAACAAACATTGGGCCAAGCCTAAAGTGTCTCTGTTGAACAGTCTTGTGGGAGAAATTGGTAAGTAATCACCATACAGCCAGGGAAGTGGAATGATGGAGCTAAGTGCCCCATGGGACACAGGGGAGATAAACCTAGTCCACGGGGCTGTGAAGGCCCGTGGCCGCTGGCTGGCCCCGCCCAGCCCGAAGGCAGGGCTTGGGAGCGCCGGCACCCAGCAGGACCAGAGGGGCAGAGTGCAGGGCGAACGTGGTGCGGACACTGTCTTACCCGTGCGGCTCTGGCAGCACTAGTTTTAAACACTTTTTGCCTATGTAGCTCAGATCATTCTTATTTTAAACACTTTTCATCATTAACATACTCAGTGAGCTCTTCAGTCAAAGCTTCAGTTAAGGATACCGATAAGATCACTAAGATTTAAAATACAGCAGTTCCCTCCTCCCTTACCGTAGAGATAAGAAAATAGAAATGGAGTCGCTCAGAGTTGACCGCACCTCCTCTACTTCCCGGTCCTTTACCGGGCATCGCATTGTCGAGTGTGTTCATTCATTTGTTCTGTCTGTTTTCCTGGTGCTAAGAATCCAGTGGTAGTAAACAAGACAGGAAAGGTCCCTGGCCTTCAAAAAGTTGCCCTCCCAGTGGGGGGCAGGGGGGCAGTCTTTAAACAGATAAACAGAACTTTGACCTCTACTGTGGTAAGTGCTGCTGTGAAGTCATGTAAATAGGGTGATGTGCTGGGGAGTGACTGGGTGGCTGGCGAGAGCTCACAACTTCAGACAGACGGTCGGGAACCATATAAACCGAGAGGCAGTGTTTGAGAAGGAGATGGCCGCAGAGAAGAATCCAGGTGCAGAGGGGACCGTGAAGAGAAAGCCATATATACAGTGTTCAGTGGGAAACCTGCTTCCATTCATTTGTTTAAACACCAACTTTTATTTTATGGATTGGTGCTGCTATTGGTTTTTTTTTATTGTTGTTTATTTTTGGCTGCGTTGGGTCTTCGTTGCTGCGCGCAGGCTTTCTCTAGTTGAGGCGAGCAGGGGCTACTCTTCCTTGCGGTGCACAGGCCTCTCGTTAAAGTGGCTTCTCATGTTGCGGAGCACGGGCTCTAGGCACACAGGCTTTAGTAGTTGTGGCACGCGGGCTCAGTAGTTGCGGCACACGGGCTCTAGAGCGCAGGCTCAGTAGTTGTGACGCACGGGCTTAGTTGCTCCACGGCATGTGGGATCTCCCCGGACCAGGGCTCAAACCCATGTCCCCTGCATGGGGGAATCCACATTGGCAGGTGGATTCTTAACCACTGCGCCACCAGGGAAGTCCTGCTTTCGGTTTTTATATCTTATGATTTATACGTAAGAGCTAATTCCCGGCTCTTCTAAGTCAAAAAAAAAAAAAAAAAAAAAAAAAAGACAAAAATATTTGAAAACCAAGAAATTATTGAAAGTTCCTTCGGTGTGTACTTGTATCAGCTCTAACTTTAGTATTTATTTTTTATGTCCTCAAAGCTGAACCTCAGAATATAGATTATAATTTTGTTCCAGTTGAGCCTAACGACACCTAACAGCAACAGTCAGAAATGGGGATAACATTTGTCTTTTTTAAAAAAACCTAGTTTTAAAAATTGCATTAATGTCATTGACTTCCTTGTCTTTGTTAGGAAACTCATAAAGTTTTTTTTCTGATGAAAGATTTTTGTAACAAGCAGAAATGTTGCATTTTTACTCAAAATTTTTTTTGCATGTGTGATTTGTTTTCAAACTTAGAACTTACTTTTCCTTCACAGAACTTTAACAGCCCAACTGCTGCGTCTCATGTTTCTATTTTTAATAGTTAACTCTTTAATCTGCCTGAGACTGTTTGATGTCATGTGTAAATCATACATTAATTTTTAACAGTTCTGGATTATTGCATTCTCCCAGGCTGGTACACGTCTGTTCTTCTGCCAAAGTTATCATAAGAATATAACACTTCTGAATGTTGCTTAACAAATCGCATGTTCATAAGATATCCACAGCCACGCCTGCATTTTTATGTCAGGAGGGGATGTGGCTTTATATGCAGGGTGCTCCATGGAGTGTGCCTTCTGCTCATCTTGATTAGTAAGCAGCACTCTTTATTTATTTATTTATTCTGGGCCACATTGGGTCTTTGCTGCTGCGCGCAGGCTTTCTCTAGTTGCAGCGAGCAGGGGCTACTCTTCATTGCGGTGTGCAGGCTTCTCATTGCGGTGGCTTCTCGTTGCGGAGCACAGGCTCTAGGCGCGCAGGCTTCAGTAGTTGTGGCTCGTGGGCTCAGTAATTGTGGCTCGCGGGCTCTAGAGCACAGGCTCAGTAGTTGTGGCGCACGGGGCTTAGTTGCTCCGCGACATGTGGGATCTTCCCGGACCAGGGCTCGAACCCGTGTCCCCTGCATTGGCAGGTGGATTAGTAACCACTGTGCCAACAGGGAAGTCCAAGCAGCACTTTTAAAATCTTTTATTTTTTTTTAATGCTTTTGCCTATCCTAAAGAGGAAATAATTGTCTTCACCATCTTCTACCCATTCATTGAGTTTCTCTATATACCATTTACAGGTAATACAAAAATAAATAATTTACATTCTCTGCCCTCAAACAGCTTACACTATTTTAGTGGATTCAGGCCCTCCAACAGTGGTTTTTTTCAGACCAAGATGAACTTGGCGCAGGGGATGGAAAAAAGATCCATTCTGGCATAGAAAGAATATACTAGAATTTGAATCAAAAATTTTCTTACCTCATATTTTAAAACTTTTCGGTTTTCATCCATGTTTTATCACGTGCAGTATGGGTTGGCTCTGTGTTGTAATCTGTAAGTAAGTATACCGATATGGGTGGCCTATGCTCAGAACACTTTTCTGCTGTTAGGGCACAGGACCCTACACGTTTAGAGAGCACTGCCCCAGTGTAAAGCTAAACAGGCGCACACTGCGCTCTGGCAGTGTTAGTGTGGCAGGACGTGAAATGTGCTGCAAGAACGCAGTCAGTCATTTGTGGGCTGGGGCTGGGCGAGGGCTGGGCTGCGGGCGGAGAACGGAGGTGGGCTGGGGAGGCTCTGGTGGAGCTGGGCTTGCCGGGAAGCGAGAGGCGGTTCATGAAAAGCAGGTGCGACACACTCCAGGTGAGTGTTTTTTGTCGTTGAAAACTTCAGTCAGGTAAATAAGCTTATTTATTGTGATTATTTTATCAAGAATAATAAATGACTGTTGAGAGGAAAATTACAGTGGCTAGTGTACAGGATGGCTTTTCCTGAGATGAATACACTGTGTATGCTGTTCTGAACTGTCCATCCATGGGGAGAGGATTTCATTACCAACTTGACATAAACTTCCGCTCCGTGATTACTCAGTAGCTTCCTTCAACATTTGGGACCTCAGAAGTAACCTTGGATTTGGATTCTTGATTGAAACCCAGTAACCAATTTATTGATAAACGCACACGCTTAGTCATAGGTTTACAGTATTGTACACTTAAACATCTGTTAAAAGGGTAGCTCTCACCTTAAGTGTTCTCACCGTGATAAAAATGTTTTTAAAACCTCATAGGCCTTCTGTGACTACAGTAACAGAAATACTCAAATCTCTGTTTGTTGTTTGAAAACTTTTATTTCTCAAAAAGGTGGTTTATACTTTAGCTGTCATCTTAATGATGCTAGTTTCCAGTGAAGGATGAGCTGCATCCACGAACTCCACGTGGGCAGGGACACCATTATACCACGCCTGCCGCCAGGGTCGTGAGGAGACCAGCCGCTGGCAGGCACTCCGTGGCCTGGATGAGCGGCCTGAGAAACATGGCGGGAGGAGACTGCCGACACTCAGTCGAGGCTAATTTAGAACAGCTACTGTAATGGCGCAGAGCGTGTTTCAAATATGTCTGTAATCGGTTATTCCTTGCCGCACTCCAGCTTGCCAATTCTGTAACTCCTTGGGACGTCTTGCTGAGCTTAATTGCAGCTGCCACTCATGATCTGGATCATCCAGGTGTTAATCAACCTTTCCTTATTAAAACTAACCATTACTTGGCAACTTTATACAAGGTTAGTGCAATTTTATCCTCAAAATTTAATATTCTTGCATTCTAGAAAATGTGTCATGTTTAAAGAAGTGAAAGGAGTAAATAAATTCTCAGTGAATGTTCAGATTTTAATCAGATTAATATTACTTACAAATAATTCTTTATGTTCAGAAAAAGACTTACCATTTACTCAGAGATGCCCTTTTCTTTTTGTAGAATACCTCAGTACTGGAAAATCACCACTGGAGATCTGCAGTGGGTTTATTGAGAGAATCCGGTTTATTCTCACATATGCCATTAGAAAGCAGGTAGGTTGGATTAAGACAAAATTAATTAGTTATGAACTATAGAAATTAAGTTGCAAAAACAACTGTATAAAGTTTTTAAAATTATGTTGTTATATTCAGGTGTTCCACAGTTTTCGGGTAAATTATCTTACTTTACAAATTTACATCAAAATTTTAATAATTTAAAGCTGTTCTGAAATACAGTCAGTAGTAATTTTTTTTCAGTGAATTTTTATGAAGGATCACTCATAGATACTATAAAATCCACTCCAAATACACAGTGGCTCAGTCATGGTTTACTGCTTATTTATGTAAATGGTATTTCGTATTTCCATTTTATGCTCTTTTGAATAAAACCGTAAGTTCTAGCTGTAAAGGTAAATTGGATAGAAAGTAAACAATCTCTATAAGAAATAGATTCATTAAAATCTGTTCCAGGAAGTTTTCAAAACCGATAAGACGTGAAAAGAATGCTTTTTATCCTCAACAGCATAGTCCTAGAGTCACTGCTAGAGTTATAGGATAAAATAATGAATTGAAAGAACAGAAAATCCTACAGTTTTTTTAGAAAATATCATTTGATGTTGAGCAGGCCACTTGAAAGGCTAATAAAAAGCGTTAATGTAAATGAGCCCAACATGATAACGATGGTGGTGGCCGACACAATCCCATGTCATTGGTCCACACACTGAAGCGTTTAATGATGCCTCACCCAGAGGAGGTGCACTTAGGAAAACCATGTCAGTGGATATAAACCACCTACTTCTAGAAAAAAGGTGAGACATAAAAATACATTTGGGTGTCAAGACTTAAGTTACTGTCATTGTTCTTTCCTTTCTCCCTTTCACAATTTGAAACAACTTCATAAAAAAACAAAAATGTGTTTGGTCATGTCCGTGAGAAAAAAAGCTGGACTTTTTATTTTTTTAAATCTGTATTCATGGATACCATTTGGAGTTATGACAGTACTTCTGGTAAGTAAAATTGTTTCTTGTCATAGTACAGATACAGAAACTGCTTGAAGCACACAGTGTTTGTGTATATAGGCTCTCTCTCTTGGCTTGGGCAGGTAATGGTGTGCTTCATTATTCCCTTCCTGTCATGTTCTGCACTTGATGATTAACCCTGTTGAATTCTCATATTCTAATACAAATAAAAACTGAAAACGAGGAATACTGCATAATAGCATTCTTTTATGTTTGCTTAGGGTTTGTTTTATTTACTGTTCAATACTGTGAGCCTTTTACTTTTTTACTTTATATTTTTTTGAAGCAAGGAATACGACTTTATTCGGAAAGTCGGCAGACCAAGAAGATGGCGGACTAGGGTCTCCAGAAAACTATCTTTAGAGCCTTTTAATCTATTGACTGCTCTTTACTGATCATTATACAAAGATAATGTTTGTGATGGCCCATTGAAACAGAAGGAATTTTTAAACATTTCTCTTATTTGACTTGAAACAGTTTTTTTTTAAATACCTTTATTGGAGTATAATTGCTTTACAATGGTGTGTTAGTTTCTGTTGTATAACAAAGTGAATCAGGTGTTTGTATACATCTGTCCCCCTATCCCCTCCCTCTTGAGCCTCCCTCCCACCCTCCCTATCCCACCCCTCTAGGTGCACACAAAGCATCGAGCTGATCTCCCTGTGCTATGGGGCTGCTTCCCACTAGCTACCTGTTTTACATTTCGTAGTGTATATATGTCCATGCCACTCTCTCACTTCGTCCCAGCTTCCCTTTCCCCAGCTGTGTCCTGAAGTCCGTTCTCTATGTCTGTGTTTTTATTCCTGCCCTGCCCCTAGGTTCATCAGTACAGTTTTTTTAGATTCCGTATGCATGCATTAGCATACGGTATTTTTTTTTGAGGCGGTTTTTTAAATGATGTAATGTATTTGTTATTTGTATTAACATGTTACCTTCTCCCTTCCAGAAAATTTGGATAATTAATTCTTGAATTTGGCCCTGAAAGCATAGTTGAGTCTAAACTTTATTAAACTGGTGGAACTTCATCAGGTTTTAGTCAGACATCTTCAAAAGTCTGCAGAGGTCAGTGGGAATGGGCTGTTCTTTCTCCATCTGACCCTCCTCCTGCCTCTCAGATCTCAGGCACCAAAAAAGAGTCCAAAGTTGTTCACTGCATCCCAGCCAATCTTACGTAGACTTTCTTAGGCATATAATTCCACCTTTAGGCATTCTTTTTGGAGTGTTTGCATATTGGTATTTTCCTACCAACTGTCTTGGTTTTAGTTTTGATTCTTTTAGTAGGTTTTTAAAATGCATTCTTTAAATCCATCTTTTTGGTAGGTTAAGAGTTGAATGGCAGTTAGAATATCTTAGGGCCCTGTAAAGCTTTCTGAGTATTAAGACTTAAGGAAAAAATAATCAAGAAGTAGCTATTCAGTTGAAAGACTTGTGTTTCTCTTTATGTTTTTCTAATTCCAGACAACAGATGGAGGCTCAGATAGGCGCTCTGATACTGGCCACGGACATCAGCCGGCAGAACGAGTACCTGTCCTTGTTTAGGGCCCATCTGGACAAAGGTGACTTACGTCTGGAAGACATCAGGCACAGGCATTTGGTTTTACAGGTAAAATGAGCTTGGAAAGATTCTATTTCTAGAGCAAATCATATGACTATTAGAATAAAAATGAAATATTCTCGTGTAGTCTTCTGAGTGGTTAAATCCTGAGGGAAAGCATTTCATTTTAATAAGTTCTCATATCTAAAAAATGAGAGAGAAGTGGCTGATTCCTCTGTAGCTTTCTGGTTAGTGCAGTCCTATGCCTGCCTCTCCGGAATTACCAAGCGTGTATAATGTGCTTAGCAGGCTTTCAGTGTTTCTGCAAAAATGATCGTTACAACTAATAGTATCGTAAAATCAGTATAAAGGGTAACGAATTTCCTGTTGCAACGTTTTCTTTTTCTGTTCTCAGGTGCTCTTTTCCCCACTATTGGTGTGTAGTACGCTTAGTAAAACTGAAATTTTACCTTTTCTCTTAAGACACACCCCACACTTTGCTTTTGCTAGATGGCTTTGAAGTGTGCAGATATTTGTAACCCATGTCGGACCTGGGAATTAAGCAAGCAGTGGAGTGAAAAAGTAACGGAGGAGTTCTTCCATCAAGGCAAGTCACAGTACTGAGCGCTAGTCTGTTCAGGTCACCTTTTAGCGCCATATGAGTAAAATAACTCAGGCAACTGCAGAGTCTAGCAGCAGGTGCCTGATAGTTTTAGTGGCGATTCACGGTAGCTGTACATACAACCAATAATGCGCAACTCGAACACCTGTTCTGAAAGTCAGCAGTTCTCTTTCGAAATGATCTGATGTGTGTGTCGGCATTTATGAATTAGACGTGGAGCCGGCTGGAAGGTTTTCTGTACAGAAAGATCTTCCTGCCCTTGCTCCATCCTTGTCTTGTGTGGAGGGTGTGGCCACATGAGCATGTAAGACATGTTTTGTGATTTAAAGCCAGGAACCAAGGATCTTCGTTCCATGCACCTTCCTTTCAGAAATCTGAGTTTTAAATTAAAATGCTGACAGAATTACAGTCTTGGGATAACACCTAGTAAAAGTTTTCCACCCTCTCCATTTAAAATAGGATGTTGGCTTGGCAGCCTTTTCTATGTATGAATAACTTAAAGTTTAAAAAAGAGCTAATTTAGGGCTTCCCTGGTGGCGCAGTGGTTGAGAGTCCGCCTGCCGATGCAGGGGACACGGGTTCGTGCCCCGGTCCGGGAAGATCCCACATGCTGCGGAGCGGCTGGGCCAGTGGGCCACGGCCGCTGAGCCTGCGCGTCCGGAGCCTGTGCTCCGCAATGGGAGAGGCCACAGCGGTGAGAGGCCCGCGTACCGCCAAAAACAATTTTTTAAAAGAGCTAATTTAGAAGGCATCCTCTCATGAGGCTTGTGTTACATTATTCCTAAGGAATTTACAGGTAAGATGAAGACTTTCATTATATATTTAACCCATAGGTATATTCCGCATTAAGAATTCTTTTTTTCTTTTTTCCATTTCTAGGAGACGTAGAGAAAAAGTATCATCTGGGTGTGAGTCCACTTTGTGATCGTCAGACCGAATCTATTGCCAACATCCAGATTGGTAACTATGCATACTTAGATATAACTGGTTTTTAAAATGCCACTGATTTTAAGTTTGCCAAGAAGAGAGGTACATCTGAAATACCAGTATTAAAATTATGCTTATTTCTAATTTTTAAATAATTGAAGAAATTTTATTCTGGTTTTTCCTTTTTTTGGGCTCTTATAATTTACTCTCATTTGATTTTAGTTCCTCAAAAGCAGAGCAGGTAGCAATAACTTTCTGTTCTGAACTGGAAAGAATGCATCATTTTCCCATGTGGGAGCCTCATTGGTGTCATTCTGGGACCGCTGGGCCTGACGGTCATGGGAAGACCGGCTTCCACGACTGCCGGCTTTTCTCTCACCGCTGCCTGCTGGTTGAAGCTAACTCTTCAGCACCTCACACAGGCCCCTTGCAACCTGGCCCCCAATTGTCTCTTCCGTCTTCTCCCCAACACCTTCCCCCTCGTTTACCTACAGCAACTCGGGACTCCCTGGGGCTCCCCAAATCCCTGGTGCTCCTTCACTCTGTGCCTCGCCAGGCCCCCCATCTGCCTCATAGCCTCCTCTTCCTTGAGGGTCCACCTCAGATGTCACCCCCAGAAGCCACCTTTCACTCTCTCCGGGCAGCCGTCACCCCTCTTGAGGCGCTGGATGCCTGTCGTCACAGCTCCAGGTGCCGACCTGGCCTTTGGAGGGGTGTGTGTCCCCAAGGCCAGCGCTGCCCCTCGGGGCGGGCCCACTTGAGAACTGCTTGTTGAGTGGACTGTGACGGTAAGAGAAAGCACGATGAAGGGGCTGTGACTCAAGAACGTGCAGCTTGTCGTAGACGAGCCGAGGGAAGGTGGGCCAGGTTTGGGGTGCGGTGGGTGGATTGCCAAGTGGGGGTCACTCAGAAGGATATGGAGGGACGGGCGTAATTTTGGTGGCTGATACTGAGCAGGACCTCTCAGGACTCGGTTGACAATAGTGAAGTGTGTCCAGAAACTTCGGAGAGAGAAAGTTTCCAGGAATTCGGAAGGCAGCACAGTGCTGTGGCTTTGCTAATACCCGGAAAAGCGGACTGTGCCGGAGGGTCAGGAAATCAGATACAGAATTCTAACACTGTACAACAGTTGCAGAGGATCCTCGGGGGAGGCAGTGGGTAGTAACGATCTGGCTGCAGAGGGAGCAGTAGAGATGCGGGAGAGTGAGGCCCAGGCCTGCGGGGACAGCGCGGGGACGCCGAGTCCCCCGGGAGCTGGGACTGGCCAGGAGCACGGGAGAGGGAGGCGGGAGGGGAGGGGATGACGGGACAAGAAGCCTGTCTGCTCTGGCCTGGTCCTCAAGGGCATAACCTTCGGATGCGGAAGAGCAGATGAAATCTGGGCAGAGGGGGCTGAGTTGAAGAGCAGGGGTTGGCTTGTGCACACACTCCAGCTTACTTCGTGCCTCAGCACATTACTCCCTTGATTCATGAGAGATGTTGCAAATGAGGTTTAAAAAAACTGCACTTTTTAAAAGGGACAAGAAGCTAGATCCCTTAAGCCGTTCTTGTCGTTTCTGACCTTGTCAGCGTTGGGCAGTTGTGGACCCGGTCCCCCGGGGGGGCAGGGATAAGGTAGAAGGCGGTGACAGTTGATGTGGGCTGACCCCTCACGGCACCCTAGGACACAGGCACTGCTGGTGTTCTTTTCCACATAGTTTGCCCAGTTTATACGGATAACAGGTGTTGGTCTCTCTGACATCAAATCCTAGGTAAAATGGGGCTTGCAGAGGTCCTCTTCCTAGGGTAAGTCAGGGGACGATTAGAATGAACTCTGTGCCTAGCAGCAGTTACTCGGAGCCAGCATATGGTCAGTAGGTAGCAGTCGTGTTTAATTAACACGGTTTTCTTCTTTGGTAGGAACACTAGGTCCTGTCACGTACCAGGTGAGGGTGAGGCATTGACACAGCGCCCTGTGGTATCTGAGGAGAATAGAGGCGCATGGGCTGGGACAGTTAAGGGGGTTCACGGGTGGATGAGCAGCTCACGAGTAGCGTCCTGCCACCTGGCTGTGTCCGCGGCCCCGGCCCGTGCATTGTTATCAGGTACTTAAGACCTAAAAGAATCCTAGGTACCATAGAGCCAGAAGTGAGAGCTGATTTGTTGGATGTGAGAAGCAGGATGCAGCTCTCAACCAGCTGGGACAGTGGGAGAATCAAAGAAGATGGATTGCGTGAAACCTGCGGTAATAAGGTTCTGCATTTGGGTGCAACACTCCGGCTGCTCACAACTTGACTGTGGCACCTGGAAAAGACAGGGCTCTGGCGGCTGGCTCAGCCTGACCCGGGGCTGAGGGCGTGGCTTGGCTGCCAGAAGCCGCTCTGCTCTGACTGCAGTGATGCCGTTTTCCCGTGTCCTCTCTCTCCTCACCAGACGTAACTCGTGGAGAGCACATCTTGTCTGTTTGTCCACTGCTTATCCATGGCCACCCCAGAGCAGTGCCTGGCATCTAGAAGGTTCTCAGTTAACATGTGTGGAGGGGATGGAAGAGATGAAAGAAAGAAATGGAGGACTTCCCTGGAGCCCTGGTCCGGGAAGATCCCACATGTCGCGGAGCGGCTGGGCCCGTGAGCCACAACTTCTGAAGCCCGCGTACCATAACTGCTGAAGCCCGTGCACCTAGAGCCCGTGCTCCACAACAAGGGAAGCCACTGCAATGAGAAGCCCGTGCACCGCAACGAAGAGTAGCCCCCGCTCACCTCAACTAGAGAAAGCCCGCACGCAGCAACGAAGACCCAGCGCAGCCAAAAATAAATAATTTTTTTAAAAAAGAAATGGAAGAAAGCCTCATTTCCAATATCGTTACTACTTCAGATACCATAACCTGTACACTTGAAAAAATTCAATTATCAGACCGTATATGACTTTTCTAATTAAAAGTAGTGGGTGCTTTATTTCCAGTGAGATTTTTTTTGTTAGCTAAATGGAACCTGTGTTGTCTGTGGTCCATGTGGTCTTTTGCTGAAAAGAAAAGGTTTTGGAGATGAAGAAAATTTTAAAACTGTTAAACAAGCAGTGATAGAATTTGAATGTACGTTTTCCTGTCCTTGATCAAAAGTTTAGGAAGACAATGCTATTTGCTTCTCCTAATAGATGTGATCTGATTGTCAAGGTGAGGCTTCTTTCGCCCTATGTTAAGACACTATGTAGTTTTAAGTCAGCTGTAATGTGGGCTCGAGTGCTGTGTAACCCAGAGATGCAGACAGGCCCGAGACCACTCCTTCTCCTTTTCTGACTGAATTAAGGGAGATCGATTGTAGGAAGTGTCTGTAAAGTAGGCCCCCTGGTACACTTTTGATGTTCACTTTCCTAATTGTCTAAACTAATCTCCTCTGTTCGTTTTAGACTCACACTTTGTGGCATGCGTTTTGGCTTTATAAATCCTGAGATTCATAGCGGGCCCACTGTGCTCATGACCAGGTGTGACGATTACCAGCCCGGACGGTAGGGCAGCCGTGCCTCAGTCCGGCCTCGTCACCCACAGCCCCGGGGGGACCCCCTTAGCCTTGGGCATACTGTGCCCTGCTCCTCAGGGTTGAGAGGGCCGCCGCGGGTTTGCTGAAATAGAAGGATATGGTTGGTGCAGCTGAGAGGAGTCGTCAGAAGAGATGGGCTGTGTTTGTCAGTTCACCTTTACTTCAGGTTTCAGTAAGTTACCTAAATAGATTCTTCAGAGAAGATATGTAAATCTACACACACATCTTTTGAAAAATAAGAGGTAATATTGGAATAGGACTTAAGAGAGTAAACACTACCTCGACGTTGTAAAGTTTCAGAACATCCACTGATACCTTTTCTCTTACTGTCTCAGGTTTTATGACGTATCTCGTGGAGCCTCTGTTCACAGAATGGGCCCGGTTCTCCAACACCAGGCTGTCCCAGACAATGCTCGGACACGTGGGGCTGAACAAAGCCAGCTGGAAGGGACTGCAGCGAGAACAGTCCAGCAGCGAGGACGCTGATGCTGCATTTGAGGAGCTGAACTCACAGTTATTACCTCAGGAGAACCGGTTATCCTAAACGCCCCCCCAAGTCAGTGGGCAGACTGCCTCTGGAGCTCGTTAGAAATGTGAATGGGGTCTTGAGGTGAGAGAACTTTACTCTTGACTGCCGTGGGAAGTGAATGACGCCAGCATTATTTATTTCCAAGATTTCCTCTGTTGGATCATTTGAACCCACTTTTTAATTACAAGACCCGAACATACAGCAATATGCATTTGGCTTTCGTGTGAAACCTTGAATATGCAAAGCCCAGCGGGAGCGAACCGAAGGGAATAACAAAGTTTTGCAGGAAGTTTTGCGGTGGCCCTCGTGCTTCTCGAAGCATCATGAAACTTGAACCGAAGCCTTCAGCAGAAATCTTTGGAATTTAACCCGTCTGATGCAACAGTGTGTATCTGTACCTTCCACTAAGTTCTCTCGGAGAAAATGGAAATGTGAAGTGCCCAGCCTCTGCGCCTCTGGCCAGACTTGATGTTTACAGACCAACTCTGAAATACTGGTTCTCAATCCGCCTTGGAGCACGATTGTGAAGGAACCACTAAGAATTTTAAAGATCAAACCTAAACTGCAGCCCTTTCCCCCGGTTTGCCTTTCTTCTTCTTTGGATGCCACCAAAGCCTCCCATTTGCTATCCTTTTACTTTGTGCACTGGAAACTGAGCACTTATCCTAGAGTGCCGCCGAGCTTTCACTCCAGTGCTGTTGGGCAATGCAATTTTTTTTAACTCTTAGTTTTTAATTTGGGGCGGGAGGGGCAGAACCCCAGTGTCCTAGCTGTATTATGATTCCGCAGTGAAGACGTTGCATGTTGTTTTCACTAATGTACACTTGACCTGCACATGCAAGAAAAGGGTGGAATGTTTTAAAACACCATAATCAGCTCAGGGTATTGCCAATCTGAAATAAAGTGGGATGGGCCAGTGTGTCCTTCAGAGCAAGGGTACTAAAGTCCCTCTCGCTGCAGGGAGTGAGAGGTATGTTGTGTGTGTGCGGATGTGTGTGTGGGGCACGCTCGTGCATGTGTGACTGTGCATGTGTTCTATTTATCCACGTGGGAAGGATTGGGAACGTCAGCTTTTATTTATTATTTTAGAATGTGACATAATGAGCAGCCACACGTGGGGAGGGGAAGGGAGGTCAGCTGTAACAGATCGCTCCAGATGCCTTAAACTATGCACAAAGCTAAGTGACCAAACTTCTTGTTTTGATTTGAAAAAAAGTGCATTGTTTTCTTGTCCCTCCCCCTTTGATGAAACGTTACCCTTTGATGGGCCTTTTGATGTGAACAGATGTTTTCTAGGACAAAATCTAAGGACTAATTTTAAACTTACAACATTCCACTTTTGTAATTTGTTTTAAAATGTTTTATGTGTAGTAAGCACAACTGTAATCTAGTTTTAAGAGGAACCGGTGCTTTCTTTTAGTTCAATTGTATTTCCCTTGTTACTGTAAAGGACTGTTTATTAATTATGTTTACAAGTTTGTTGCAACAGTCATTTTCTTGGGAGAAAGCTTGAGTGTAAAGCCATTTGTAAAAGGCTTTGCCATACTCATTTTAATACGTGCCTGTTGCTGTTAACTTTTGACGAATAAAAACCTATCTTTTCACATTTTCATCTTTGATATTTACCTATAAGTCAGTCCGTTGGAAACCACGACGCTAAATTACTAGGGAAGCAAAGAATTCGCTTCTCGGCTCCGGCATTCGCTCGCCACACATTTGTTCGGGCAGAGCTGGGCGCAGGCAGAGTCCTGCGGGCTCGTGTGCTGCCTGCACCTCACGGGTGAGCAAGCTGAGGCCGGGATGTAGTGGACAGAGTCCTAACAGCCGGGAGAAGTCGGCTCTGAGCCCAGCCTCTTGACTCCACAGCCCTTTGTTCCACGGCGGGAACCTCAGGCCTTTGTGCAGGTACTAAAATACTACTCGTATTGGCCTTTTAAAAGTCAAGTAATAAGAAATGGCCACTTAATACTACTTTTGGTATCAGCGTAAGAAAGGTACCACTGGGCCTCTCCTGGATCCTCCCAAGTCCATTTCATTAGAAGGGATACGTGTAAACTTTGAACTCAAACATAGTCATTATTTGCATAGAAGAGTGATGTCGGATAGAAATACAGTGTGAGCCGAGTCAGTGATTGTCAATTTCCAAGGAGTCACATGTAAAAAAAAGGAAAAAGAAACAGCTGGAATTTTAATAATATTTATTCCAACATATCCAAAGTATTTTATCATTTCAATATGTAGTCATTATAAAAAACTATTGAGATGTTTTACATTCTTTTTTCTGTTACAAAGTCTTTGAAATCTGGCGTGTATTTTATGCTTACAGCACGTCTCGGTTCGGACCAGCCATGTTTCTGGTGCCCGGTCTCCACATGTGGCTCGTGGCCACCACACTGGACAGCTGGGTGCAGAAGTCCGAGGGCTATGTGGGGAAGGTCAGTTGGCCACTTATACGAGGAGTATCATCTTGGCACATTTGACGCATCCAGTGTCTGATAAGGAAACTTGCCAGCTCACACACCTAGCATGTCAGCACATGGAAAGTAGAACTGTATCTCATAGCAAACTCACGTTAACCAATTTCACAGAAACTGATGTTTTTTTAAAGCGTTAATAGTTTAATTTACAGTGAGAAATATAATTATCAATCGTTCTCTCCCTTTAGGCAGACGTTCTCGGGAAGCCAAATGACGACCAGCCGGTTGCTTGAGCATGGATTCTCAGCAAGGGAAGCAAGTCGCCTCACGCATCCTGCAGGGACGTACCTGCTGCTACTCGTTTGTGGACCACGGTTCCCCTGAACGAGGCTACAGATTCTCCGCCAGGAGCTGCTTCTCCACGCCTTCTTGATTGGCACATCCAGCAGACATGTCAGACCTTCAGCCTTGCATCAGTTGAGCCTGCCTGGGCTCCATCTGCCAGTGTATGATTGCTTTCTTCTTCTCTGACCTGTTACATGTTTCTCACTGTTGGATATTCAGAGGATTGTCTTCTTATTGCCATTCTCCAGGGGGAGACACCTGAGCGTTGTTCCCATCTCCTGCCTACACATAAAATAAACCCACTGCAAAGGTATGTTTTGTGACATATATGTGGTATTACCGGCTATAGCCCTGCTTCTTCAACAGGACCTATATTCTTTGAACATCGGTTTTCTAGAAAAATCTGAGGAAACAGTACAGTAATTTAGAAGGTCACAGTTTAAATAAGTAATTAAATATTATAGAAGAGAATGCAAAATTCACAAATTTTAAAGATAAAACAGGAGACTTCAAAGAATTGTTGAGCGTTGCAGCAGCCCTTTGGGGCTCTGGGCCGGCCCTTAGTCATGGGGGGGGGGGCAGCTCCTCTGCTCTAGGCTGAAGGTCCTCGGAGAGAAAATTGTGGTAAGCCTTAGCTTAACAAAAACCATCTGGTTCCTGGTCAGTATTTGCACTCCGTAAGTGTGGTGGTTTATAATGATCCTCTTTACATAAAAGAAGTAAATATTTTATGTCCTTTGTCCAACCTGGACAATGTTTGTACCTTAGGTACAAGTTAGAGGTGCAAATAATTCTTTGAAGATTCCTGTAACAGCCTTTCTTTCCAAAAATCTTTCTTGACTCTTAAAGCTTTCGATTTTCTTGAAACTTTAAAATTTTCACATTGGAGGTTTACAGTGTTTTCATGTGTACTTTTTTTTTTTTTTTTTTTTTTTTGGGGTACGCGGGCCTCTCACCGCTGTGGCCTCTCCCGTTGCGGATCACAGGATCCGGACGCGCAGGCTCAGCGGCCATGGCTCACGGACCCAGCCGCTCCGCGGCATGTGGGATCTTCCCGAACCGGGGCACGAACCCGTGTCCCCTGCATCGGCAGGCGGACTCTCAACCACTGCGCCACCAGGGAAGCCCCATGTGTACTTTTTTTAATGTATAAATATTTTGTTTAAATCTCCTCCCAATCGGTATCTCCCGCTTGGGACAATGACCGACAGCTAATCTGCATTCAGGAATGTTTTTAAATAAATGTGACATTAATCACCATACTAGCAGTATATATCTGAAACACAGAGTTATCCAGATATGTGCAAGACTTAGCCTGAGCCATTCCTTGTTTGCTGAGGATTTGCAGACAACCTGTGTCCTCTGGAAGGCCCCCAGTTGTCCACTGTCTCCAGGGAAAGTGACCGCTACTTGCGGGGGACTGCCAGGGGTGCACAGCCGTCTCCTCCACCTTTTTTTCTCTTGTGCTTAGCATAGGGCTAGCGTGAACTGTGCCGTCAGTAAATGTTGAAAAAATTAACTTGGAATTGTTTCCTTTTTAGCTGTCAGTCTACCGTCATGAGCAATTATGTGGAAACTAGTCTGTCAATGCCGAGGTCACGTGGTCACAGTATCCGAGTTCCTGTTGTGTGCAGAACTGCACTGGATGTAATAAAGGTATTAAAACTAAATATCGAGACGGGGTCTCTGTTCTCAAAATGTTTGGGTGACAAGATGATGTGTGGAAAGCATCTGTTATGTAATATGGGAGGTTTCTATACTGTACAAAATGAGTGTAAAGTGTTAGGGTGTTGTTGAGAATGAATGATTTTGTTGGGTTAATGATGAAAATGACACCATTTCCAGTAATTATTGAATCTTACTAACATCCGTGACTGGTAAAATCATTTAGCTTTCAAGTTTGATTCTAAAATATGTCTTAGATGTTCACTGTGATACTTCTAGTAAAATACTAATAACTTTTATCAATCACAGTAACATTTTTTTTTTACTTTTACAGCTATGCTCAGTCGTCCTGAACCTATCCTGAAGTCTGGTAGAATGGTCAGGGAAAGAGAAACACCCCCATTTTTAGCATTAGATTCTTTTTAGCTGTATTTTAAAACCGAAGCACAGTGACCTATTGGTTTATTGCAACTTTCCACTGGTCCCATCAATAGTCTTGTTAAGAAAGTTCATCTTATATTACATTTATGTTTAAGCTATGCATTGTTTGAGATTTTTGAGCATAAATTTGAAGTGTTTCTTTACTGTTGAGCTGCATCCTATAAAGAATCGGGAGGCTGCATGGTATCCCAAGGTGCTTTATCTTTTGAAGAAAGTATCATAAAGGAATGTGTTTAAAGTTCCTAGTTGAACATTTGCAGGAAAGTTTCTGAATTTCCATCTAAGAATCCTCACAAGATAGGGGTTAACTTTTCCATTGTAGGGAACAGAGTCTCACTCAGATCACTGCAGGGTAACTGGAGCTTTATCTTGAGGATTCATGTTCACGATAATGAGACAAACCCTATGAAGGCTGTAGAAGCAGAACCTGGGGGTCTGAGCGCTCTGAGATGTAGCTTCTTGCTGCGTCTGCCTCTTCCCACACTTCTCCTTTTCCTTTCTCTTCTCTACCTTGGAGTGTCTGCTTAGAAAGGCAGTAAAGTTTTTAAAGTGTTGTCTTTATGGCTAGATCGACTGTGTTAAGGTCTCTGGTCGTGTATTAGCGTGTCACCTCATCTTCTGCGTGGCTCCCTAACCTATAACATGTCTGCCTCGTGAAGGTAAAATAATGTCCTGACACGGTTCAGTCCCAGTGTCCTTGTTCGTGTCCTCGTCATCTGTTTTGTATAAACTGCTCGTGGGTATCGTGGGTACACGTGTACCTCATGGCGTGCTTATTTGAGCTCCAGGTACCAACTGTGCCCCTCGCTCGAGGTTTCCTATTCAGATTCCTAAGGGAGGACCTGGACCAGCTCGTCAGGGCTGTGTCCTGAGTCACACATGTCTCTGCATTAGCTGGTGCTCCCCTTGCAGAGGGCAGTCTGCTCCAGAGCTGCGTCAGAGAGATCATCGTGCAGAGTGTCACGTGCTCTCCACCGTCACCGATCACACCTGCGTTACACAACAGTGTCCCCACCACACCTGCTTCGCACCCTTTTTCATCCTCTGATAGCAAGCATGAGTGGCCGGTGAAGAGGGACGGCTCCTAGGCCATGTGAACAGAAAGCTGTTCACAACTCTGGTAAAAATCCTGTTGTGAAGAGTGCCTTTCTCCCCAAATTATGGCTTTTCCAGCTGGGAAGACAGTGGTTAGGAGGGACGGGACTGCCCTGTAGTGGCCACAGCAGTTTGGGGTGGAACGGGAGGTGCTATTTGGATCATCTTTAGCTTCCTGGTAATGTCTAAATGACACTCGTGTTATTCTCTCAGCTTAGAGAAGGAGCTCTCTGACCTTTAGAAGAGGCTGGAAAATCTTCCAGGGGAGAGAAGTTTGAGAAGCTCCAGCTAGAGGAACATTAAGTTTTCCAGCCCCTACCAAGTGGACTAAGGACAACAGCTTTCGGGGAAACATCCAAGATTTCTGGATCCTTCCATGGGTATGCTATTTTTATTATTTTATTTTATTGTCCTATCTGTTCTCAAGTGATCACACTAGTACGAACCAAGAACTAGCCTGCTTACAAGGTTTACAAGGAAAAACTAATAAGAATTTTAAGAAAAAGGCTCAGTGGGGTAGCTCAGAAGAATGCTGAGTCTAGGATGAGAAGGGGGAAGAGGACTCGGGAATGGCTAAAGGCTCATGGGAAAGACTGTGACAGTAACAGGCAGAACAGTGATACTGTTGTAAAACCAAGTGCCTCCTTCTGCCTGGCAATCCCAGAGCTGGTGCTACTGGGCTAACGCCTGAAAGTTTAAACTTGTATCTGCCAGATCTAACCTACACAGAAAACTTAACGTTTTTTGGAGAAGTTACCAGAGGATGGTTTGTTTCCAGTAGTTGTTACCTCATGTTTTCTTCCTTCACCACTGAGGCACAGACTCATAGGAACTCTTAATACAGCAAGAGGACAGCGGACTTCCCTGGCGGTCCAGTGGTTAAGACTCTGGGCTTCCAATGCAAGGGTGGTTGTTTCGATCCCTGGTCGGGGAACTAAGATCCCACATGCCATGCAATGTGGTCAAAAAATTTAAAAAAAGAAAAAAATGAGGACAGTATTCTTCTGCAGAAGGGCCTACGACTGGGAAGACAAACCAGAACTGAAGACTAAGACCTACTGCTCCACCCAGGCCTGTGCAAAGAATGACACCTTTTCCAGGTGCCAAGAACACTGGAGAAATCCGTCTACTGGGCACTACAGTGACCTTGTGTAAAATAATGTAGTAACTTACTTAGCAAGCTGCCATTTACAGAACGTGTTCAGAATCATTATTTAATCCTAGTTTTCTGGACTGAGCATTATTCCCATTTTAAAAAGAGGTGTGACTTGGCCAGGATCACATACATGGATCGTGTTTTAGCTCCAAGTCCAGCGCTCTTTGCCACACTCATTATGTACACAGTTGACCCTTGAACAACACAGGTTTGAACTGCATGGGTCCACTTACATGTGGACGTGTTTCAATAAATAATATAGTACCTATATTTTCATTTTACAGATCTTTAAGTTACATATGGGGAGAAGTGTGTGTTTGACCAGAGATCACAGGACATGGAATCAAAGAAACATAAGGGTTGAGTCCTGACCCTATCCAAAAACTGTTTCAGCTTCCTACCCACCCGTGGGTGAGTCATTTACCAATTCATTTGTTGTTGAGGCAGAGATAGCAATGCGTGGATTTTCGACTGGGGATGAGAGGGAGTCAGTGCCCCTAACACCCACGTTTTCTTTTTTTTTTTAAAACTTTGATACGGACCAATTTTAGTCTTTTAATTGCATTTGTTACAACATTGCTTCTGTTTTATGTTTTGCTTTTTGGCCAGGAGGGATACGTGGGATCTTAGCTCCCTGACCAGGGATGGAACCCACACCCCTTGCATTGGAAGGCGAAGTCCCGCCCCCCACATTTTCAAGGGTCCACTCTATAAGAGTGAGTCCCTAGACTAGTCAGAATCACAGGAGAGAAAACATTACACCAGTTATTTAACTTTTTTGAGCCTCAGCTGTAAAATGTAGAGTTGAACTATTTTTAAGATCTTTCACCTAACTATTGTGTTGGGTGGGAGAACCAGAAACTGAATAAGGTGGGTGTAGGGGAAGATGAGAAAAGAGCTTTCACCAGTCCCAGAGGTGGATTATAGGCTTGAGAACCCTGAGGAAACTCATCCCAAGTGACTGCCTTTCTCTTCTTAATGATGGAGTTCCTTTAAGAGAAAGATGAATGAGAGGTGATATATTCTAGGCAATGTATTTCCCCTTGAAAAATGCAGAAAGCAAATAATTCTAAAGAAGCTGCATGTATAATATAAAAGAATCGTGCCTATTGTGGAAAAAAAAAATGAAAGCATTTGTATAGGCATTATGGCCCAAGGAAAGTAAAAGTTTATTTCAAAACAGTAACTTCCTTGTAATTTGGAGCACTGCCTAAATTTCAACAGTGATACAAATATAATACATACTTTGACCTCCTAAGAAATTTATATCAGGCGAATTTTCTGAATTCTTTTTAAAGGCAGAATTTTTAAACCGTAGAAAACAATCAGAAACAATGTATCAACATGTGTAAAATAAGCCACAGTTCAAAGTTCAGCTGAATAACCAAACCATGAAAATCACCTCCAACTAATAACATTTGCTATTATTTAGAACACTGCACGTATTTTCAATAACTTAAAAGGGTCTTCACACCTCCTAATCCCCCCAGGAAGGACAACTTTTTTTTCACTAGATTTAAATAATAGATCCAAATATTTACTCATAGTAGGAGGTTCTGACATTAAACTATGTGTGTTTAACAGAAATACAGAAAATCATGAAGATACATGCATTTAAAAATGATCACTTGTAGCAATTCCTTAGAAGTCGTAGAGGAGAAAGGCAGTTGTCTACTTCCTAATAGCACCTAAGGTTTATGCTACATAATATAATTCAGCAAAACACCATTCTGACCTATGATAAGCAACTTACAGAAAATTCTTTCTCCTATTCAATGTTTCATTATAAAGCTACTATTCTGACCAATATTAAAAAAATTTTAACTCCATTATGCTGACATTTCCAGAAGTATTAGCAGCAAGTTATCTTCATGCCATTTATTAAACTGAAAGAAAAAGATGGTATGTTCTAGTTTTTACTTTAAAAGAGATTTAATCCAATCATTTGATTCCTCACTATTTGAAAACTACATTTTCTTCCTCAGCACTGGATGGCACTACAGTGAAAACGGTTTCCATGATCCTTGACTTCCCTCTTTAAAGGAAAGCATTATGGAATTTCAGCAGCAAACATTATCTGGTTCCTACTCAAACTCCATCTCCAATCCAAGAAAAACGTGAGAGAGAATCTAACATCAAAAGTTCTGTTCAAGGTAAGAAATTCCAATCTCAAAACCATTTCATTCCAACAACTTGGTTATTCCACCTGCTCCATCACTGAATAGAAATGATCACTGAAAACAAATGACACTGTCAGCACCCTCGTCACCCCCTTGCTAAATCTTATGTCTTGAATACATGCACGTAAAACGTGTACAGATAAATTAGTGTTAAGAATTAAAAACTCACATCTACAAAGGTCCTTTCTTTATTCTGAAATCTATATAATTGTTTTCCAGACTGGAAATCTAAACATCTTGGCTACACATTAAAAACACGTCAGAATATAAATATGCTATGGAAAACTTCAGAACGGACCTTCTCTTAAAAGCAAACAAACAAACTTAGAGTGCTTTTGTTATAGCTTAATCCTCTGAGACTTAAAAGGAGACACTAAATTCAGGTATTTACCAAATGGTGTATTAGGGCTGTTTGGCTAATAGAAATCAACACTAACAGCTGAACTAGTAGGACAGTCTTTCTCAGCTCAGTATTAGGAAGTTGAAACATTTTCAATTAAAGCCTTCATTTTTCCTGTAGACTTCAACATGTGTGGCCCAAACTAGAAAAGAAACAAAAAAGACACTGGTTCATGTAACAGTAATGATATGCCCCGCTCCCAATCATGGATCAAAGGTATGTTCTTCATGAAAAACCAAACAGCTACGTAATATTAAAACCTTTATGAACTGACAAGTTGTTATAAACATGACATATCAAAAGAGTGAAAGGCAAAGAGACAACAAAATTATGCCCTAGAAAACTATAATTACCTTAGCAAGAGCCTAGCTTAGTCCAATTTTACTTCTCCGAATAAAAGAAGGAAGGTACAGAGTTTCTTTTTCAACGTCTGAAGACTTTCAGAGATGCTAGAATTTCTAAGATATCTACATCTCTGTAATAAACACATATGCCCCATGACAGTACCCAGAATAAAGGTAATGTATATTAACAGTACCCAGAATAAAGGTAATGTATATTAACAGTACCCAGAATAAAGGTAATGTATAAATTAATATATTTGATAGCTTCCATGAATCTGCTCAGTCCCATCTTTGGCATGCCCACAACCTGCAAGACCCTGGTCAAATGTCTCTCCCTCTTCCGGAGACTTCCTCACAGGTGCCCTAAGAGAACATGATCTTTCCTTGCTATATCAGCATTTTTATTGTCCTCAGATATAAATTTTATTGTAATGAATTTCACTTCATTATACTTAAATAAAACAGCATGAAAAATTTAACACAGGAGACACTAAGCAATGAAACCAGGGGTTAACTCTTGCTTCCTTCTCTGTGCTCTTCTATAACAGGTAATCTAGCTGTAGGCAGGGACTAAATCCCAGAGCATATACGTCCTTTTGAATCTCGCAGGCACACAGAGCTGAACGTGTTGCAGCTTGCAGCAGTGAAGGGAACTACCAGGCTGTACTTGGAGAGAACTCTGCCCAGTACTCACCAACACTCTTTCTGAGGTGCCCTCTGATTCAGACTTTGGAATTCCTTTTTCAACTTCACCTTGGCTATCACATCGATACCGATAAGCAAACTTCTTTCTCAGAGCCTCTGCTATGAGGGCAGCAGGGTCAGCAGCATCCACCGGTTTGGGCTTCATGTCTTGTGCTGACCTGAGAAAAATGAACATGAACCAAGGGGGCGCTGATCCCTCCGGGAAGCACACGGGGAGCCCGACGGCACTTCTCTGGCATCAATACACTTGACAAAGACACTGACACATACTGATGCAGCGAAGTGGAAAACCTAGATTTAAAGCTCAATGGAAGAGCACAAAAGTGCCCAATAACAGTCCCTCAGGTCCTCTCAGGAGCAGAGATTATGTGCTCCTTCAGGGCAATTAGGGTTCCATTCTTCTCCAAAAGCCTGGTGACTGCCACAGCAGGGACGCATACAGCTTCACTGGATGAATGACTGCACAGTAACGAAAAGCCTTCAAATGCAGTTGGGGGAGAAACTGGAAAGTTACCTTCAAGTGTTTATTCTGCTAATCTCTTAGGCTCCTGTACACAGTTAACTATCTTTTTTAAACTAAAAACTTAGAGCTACTCATGTAGTCATGTTATAAAACAAAGTTCGCAAGAAACCTAGTACTTGGGAGACTGGTTCAAGATGGCACAGTAGAAGGACGTGCTCTCACTCCTGCAAGAGCACCAGAATCACAACTAACTGCTGAATAGTCATCGACAGGAAGACACTGGAACTCACCAGAAAAGATACCCCACATCCAAAGACAAAGGAGAAGCCACAATGAGACGGTAGGAGGGGCGCAATCACAATAAAATCAAATCCCATAACTGCTGGGTGGGTGACTCACAGACTGGAGAACACTTATACCACAGCAGTCCACCCACTGGAGTGAAGGTTCTAAGCCCCACGTCAGGCTTCCCAACCTGGGGGTCCGGCAACCAGAGGAGGAATTCCTAGAGAATCAGACTTTGAAGACTAGTGGGATTTGATTGCAGGACTTTGACAGGACTGGGGGAAACAGAGATTCCACTCTTCGAGGGCACACACAAAGTAGTGTGCACATCAGGACCCAGGGGAAGGAGCAGTGACCCCATAGGAGACTGAACCAGACCTACCTGCTAGTGTTGGAGGGTCTCCTGCAGAGGCAGAGGGTGGCTGTGGCTCACCGTGGGGACAAAGACACTGGCAGCAGAAGTTCTGGTAAGTACTCCTTGGTGTGAGCCCTCCCAGAGTCCACCATTAGCCCAAAGAGCCCAGGTAGGTTCCAGTGTTGGGTCACCTCAGGCCAAATAACCAACAGGGAGGGAACCCAGCCCCACCCATCAGCAGAGAAGCAGATTAACCTTTTACTGAGCTCTGCCCACCAGAGCAACAGCCAGCTCTACCCACCACCAGTCCCTCCCATCAGGAAACTTGCTCAAGCCACTCAGATAGCCTCATCCACCAGAGGGCAGACAGGAGAAGCAAGAAGAACTATAGTCCTGCAGCCTGTGGAACAAAAACCACATTTACAGAACAATAGACAAGATGAAAAGGCAGAGGGCTAGGTACCAGATGAAGGAACAAGATAAAACCCCAGAAAAACAACTAAATGAAGTGGAGATAGGCAACCTTCCAGAAAAAGATTTCAGAATAATGATAGTGAAGATGATCCAGGACCTCGGGAAAAGAATGGAGGCAAAGACTGAGAAGACACAAGAAATGTTTAACAAACACCTAGAAGAATTAAAGAACAAACAGAGAGATGAACAATACAATAACTGAAAAGAAAAATACAGTAGAAGGAATCAATAGCAGAATAACTGAGGCAGAAGAACGGATTAATGACCTGGAAGACAGAATGGTGGAATTCACTGCTGTGGAACAGAATAAAGAAAAAAGAATGAAAAGAAATGAAGACAGCCTCAGACACCTCAGGGACAACATTAAACGTAACAACATTCGCATTATAGGGGTCCCAGAAGGAGAAGGGAGAGAGAAATGACCCAAGAAAATATTTAAAGAGATTATAGTTGAAAACTTCCCTAACGTGGGAAAGGAAATAGCCACCCAAGTCCAGGACGCACAGAGTCCCATACAGGATAAACCCAAGGAGAAACACACCAAGACACATAGTAATCAAACTGGTAAAAATTAAAGACAAAGAAAAATTATTGAGAGCAGCAAGGGAAAAACGACCAATAACATACAAGGGAACTCCCATAAGGTTAACAGCTGATCTCTCAGCAGAAACTCTACAAGCCAGAAGGGAGTGGAATGATATACTTAAAGTGATGAAAGGGAAGAACCTACAACCAAGATTACTCTACCTGGCAAGGATCTCATTCAGATTCGAGGGAGAAATCAAAAGCTTTACAGACAAGCAAAAGCTAGAAGAATTCAGCACCACCAAACCAGCTCTACAACAAATGCTAAAGAAACTTCTATAAGTGGAACACAAGAGAAGAAAAGGACCTACAAAAACAAACCCAAAACAATTAAGAAAATGGTAATAGGAACATACATATCAATAATTACCTTAAACATGATTGGATTAAATGCTCAACCAAAAGACACAGGCTCACTGAATGGATACAAAAACAAGACCCATATATATGCTGTCTACAAGAGACCGACTTCAGACCTACGGAGATACAGACTGAAAGTGAGGGGATGGAAAAAGATATGCCATGCCATGCAAATGGAAATCAAAAGCTGGAGTAGCAAAACTCATGTCAGATAAAATAGACTTTTAAAATAAAGAATGTTACAAGAGACAAGGAAGGACACTACATAATGATCACAGGATCAATCCAAGAAGATGATGTAACAATTATAAGTATATATGCACCCAACATAGGAACAGCTCAATACATAAGGAAACTGCTAACAGTTATAAAAGAGGAAATCAACAGTGACACAATAGTAGGAGACTTTAACACCTCACTTACACCAATGGACAGATCATCTAAACAGAAAATTAATAAGGAAACACAAGCTTTAAATGACACAATAGACCAGATAGAGTTAATTGACATTTATAGGACATTCCATCCAAAAACAGCAGATTACACTTTCTTCTCAAGTGTGCACGGAATATTCTCCAGGACAGATCACATCAAGCCTCACTAAATTTAAGAAAACTGACATCATATCAAGCATTTTTCTGAGCATAACACTCTGAGATTAGAAATCAATTACAGGCGGAAAAAACGTAAAACACACAAACACATGGAGGCTAAACAGTATGCTACTAAATAACCAAGAGATCACTGAAGAAATCAAAGAAGAAATAAAAAAATACCTAGAGACAAATGACAAAAAACATGATGATCCAAAAGCTATGGGATGCAGCAAAAGCAGTTCCAAGAGGGAAGTTTACAGCAATACAATCCTACCTCAAGAAACAAGAAAAATCTCAAACAATCTAACCTTACACCTAAAGGAACTAGAGAAAGAAGAACAAACAAAACCCAAAGTTAGCAGAAGGAAAGAAATCATAAATATCAGAGCAGAAATAAATGAAATAGAAACAAAACAATAAATAGCAAAGATCAATAAAACTAAAAGCTGGTTCTTGGAGAAGATAAAATTGATACACCATTAGCCAGACTCATCAAGAAAATGAGGGAGAGGACTCAAATCAATAAAATTAGAAATGAAAAAGAAGTTAAAACAGACACTGTAGAAACACAAAGCATCCTAAGAGACTACTACAAGCAACTCTATGCCAATAAAATGGACAACCTGGAAGAAATAGACAAATTCTTAGAAAAGTATAACCTTCCAAGACTGAACCAGGAAGAAACAGAAAATATGAACAGACCAATCACAAGTAATGAAATTGAAACTGTGATTAAAAATCTTCCAACAAACAAAAGTCCCGGACCAGATGGCTTCACAGGTGAATTCTATCAAAGATTTAGGGAAGAGGTAACACCCATCCTTCTCAAACTCTTCCAAAAAACTGCAGAGGAAGGAACACTCCCAAACTCATTCTATGAGGCCACCGTCACTCTGATACCAAAACCAGACAAAGATACTACAACAAAAGAAAATTACAGGGCTTCCCTGGTGGCACAGTGGTTGGGGGTCCGCCGGCCGATGCAGGGGACACGGGTTCGTGCCCCGGTTCGGGAGGATCCTACGTGCCGCGGAGTGGCTGGGCCTATG